CGTCTAAACAACATTTTAAATGGCACTACAGCTCAGTAAATATCACAAAATACTCGTCTGCCACTTCAGCTAAAATTATGTTTTTTCAGCAGACCGAATCTGGTAAAATCCCTCATTTCAGCCAGGGCCCGTTTTTAATTTCTGCTGTTTTCTGCCCAATCACAGTGCTGCAGGAGTAAACGTGTTTCTCCACAACAGCTGCAGCCTCCACCAAAATGGTGTCTCACTCTGAAAGCACTCACTTCTCCTCTCAGTGCACGCCAGCTCACCTCAGCTCTAATGTGAGACCGCAGCCTGGGCTCAGCACAGAGGCACACATACAGCCTTTTTCTGTTGGAGCCCCCCTTGGGTTCCCCCCGGAGAATCTCCGGAGCAATTGATGGCAGTAAGGGTTTTTAGTCTGGTTGACATTCAAGAGAAAGATGACACAACACAAAATGCGTGCCCACTCTCTGAGCGTTACTCAGAGTGGAAGCGAGTGTGTTCCCTGGACAGACAGACGAACCGTCTGATCAGCAGTGGTTACATGCTACAGTTCACAGCTCAACCCCCACTGTTCAGAGGGATTATAGAGACGGTTCTATCTTTTCCAGAACAGAGCTCATCTCTCCAGTCAGAAGTTCAGGTATTTCTGACAAAACAACGTGATTTCCAGAGTTCCCAACAGAGAGGAAAATATGTTTTTTTTTTCCTCCCACTACTTCCTGGTTCTGAAAAAAATGGAGAGATGAGACCCATTCTCAACCTGTTCATGTTCAACAATTCGATCATGGGAAGACAACTCTACATGCTGACAATCAAACAGCTGCTAGAGAACTTCACCAGAACGACTAGTTCACCTCCATAAATCTGAAGGGTGCATTTTTTTTTACATTTTCCATCATTCTGAAACACCCCACGCACGTTCTCAAAATGTGTGGAGACGGCTCTGCAGTCGTTGCACATGGCAGAAATGAGAATTATTTTTATCTGGACGATCTGCTTTTATTAGCTCGATCCAGATAGGAAGCAGTCGCACAGACCAAAACGCTAGTGTTAAACCTGCTAAACCTAGGGTTTTCTATAAACTAGGAAAACGTTCAGTTTGTCCGTCCCAGTTGATTGTTTATCTGGAAGTGGAACTAAACTCGACCACAACGATAGCCCGTTTATCACAGCTGAGAGCCGAAGCTCTGTCAGCTCAGCTCCGCCGTGTCAAACCCTGTAGCATAGTGACAGTTCTGCCTGTCATGCGACTCCTGGGACCATGTCAGCGACCCACATTGTGGTTCTGCTGGGCCTACTTCACATGAGAAGTCTTCAGAGATGGTTCGCCCGCCTGCGCATAGATCCTGTGCGCCAGAAGAGGTGGATTATTTTTGTGCCCCCCTCCGTGAGAACTGATCTTAATCACTGGGGAAACCCCCTCATTCTGTCAGAGGGAGTTCCCATCAGCAGGCCTTTATCACACATGTCAGTTTTCACAGACGAGTTCCTGTCAAGCTGGGAGGAATGTGTCTGTCTCAAGCAGTGGGAGCACAAAAGCTAGACCACATGTCGCTTCATATAAATGTGCTAGAATGTTTCACGGTCTGAAATGTGACTCGTCATTTTGCCCCTGCTGCGGGATCAGCATGTTCTGATTCACACAGACAACAAAGTGATGGCAGTTTACATAAACCGTCAGGGAGACGTGCGCTCAGCCCAACTGTTACGCATCGCGAAACAGCTGTTGTGTTGGGCACACAAAAAAACTACTCTCCATCAGAGCAGTGTCCTGAACAGTCGAGCGGATATCATGTTGAGGGGTTGTCCCCACCACAGAGACTGGAGCCTCCATCCCGAGCTGATTTCTCGGATTTAGAGCAGGTTTGGCCAAGCAGCAGTGGATCTGTCTGCCACATGGGAGAACGTCCAGTGTCAATTATGGTTCTCACTGAGCCCACGAGATGACCCACCATTAGGAGTGGATGCCTTTGCTCACAGCCCATGCCTAAAAACTCTCCTTTATGTGTTCCCTCCAGTCCTGATGATATCACAGACTGTGGACCAGGTCCGGGAGGAAGAACCGTCAGTCATCCTCGTAGCTCCCAAACGCATAAGCTCTCCGTGGTTCCCGAATCTGCAGCGAGTGATATCGGGTCAGTCTTGGAAACTGCTGTGTGGGGGGCGCTCTAAAATGGCCACGCTCTCCTGTAGTTGCAGCTTCGTGCACTCCGCCCATCTTTCGGACGACTGTACGTACATTTTCGCGTTGTACCTCGGTGCAATTCCAATAAAGTTTATTCTGATTCTGATTCTGAACGGATCCGTTTAGAAAAGATGGGCCTCCCACAGGATGTGGTGCGTATGTTTTAGGGTGCACGAGCTGCTTCTACCACAACGCTGTACACATCAATTGGACAGTTTTTCAGCGCTGGTGTGCAGAGAAAGGTGTGGAGGCCATCTCATGTCCACTAGGTGGCATGCTGTCATTTCTACAGCAACTGATGGACATAAATTTAGCGTTCAGCACAATTAAAACTTATGCTGCAGCTATTTCCTCCTGCCATGAGGTTTTTCGGTGACAGAACAGTTCTTTACCACCTGCTGATGAAGTTTTCTGAAAGGTTTACAGAGAGTGTCATGTCCACTAGCGTCACAGTGAGACCTAATGATGGTCCTGCATGCTCTGATCAAAGCTCCTTCTGAGCCTTTAGATCAGGTTTTACTTAAATTTCTGTCATTTAAAGCAGCCCTGCTGTTAGCTCTGACGTCGGCAAAGAGAGTAAGTGATTATCTGCTCTCTCTGTTGCTCCCTCATGTCTCAGTATTCAAGCTGATGGCAGTTCAGCTGTACAGCATTTTAACCCTGCTCTGAAAAGCATCACAAGCTCATTCAGATCGAGAGTGATAACCTTAGATGGGTTTTATCATCTTCCTCATAATTCTGAGGAGGAAGCAACATCTGACCTCCTTCTGTCCCATGCACGTGTTTTCGTGTTACGTGGCACACATGGCCGCACTGCGCCTCTTTCAGCGTCTGTTCGTGCATTACAGGGACAGCTCTTCAGGACGCCCTCTATCCATCCAGTGCCTGTCGCACTGGTTGTGTGAGGCTATTTCTGAAGCTTATAGTTCATCTGGACTGGATCCTCCAGAGAATATCAGCACATTCCACTAGAAGGTTTTCATCCTCCATGGCTCTGCATGGAGGGATGACAGTGGAATATATCTGTATGGCGGCTGCCTGGTCATCGCCATGTTCAGTTATTCGTTTTTATCTACGTGATGTTTCTACTTTCTCCATGACGCATTCTGTTCTCAGAGTTCTGACAGAATGATTATTATTTGTTTCATGGAGCCTCACTTTGAGCTCACACCTGCCTGCATGCAGTCGCAGTGTGATATATTTATTATCAGCCACAAGTTCATGACTGATGATTTTATCATTATTAATCAGTTCATCCTGAGGAGCTGTTGGTCTGCTCTGTTCATTGTTACACTGTTACAATTCGTATCCTCAGTTGTTCCTATTCACAGCAGCATGTCTGCTATCTCAGCCTTTTTCCTCACCAGAGATCCTTTCTCCGGTGCACTCCTGCGCATGGAGCATGCAATTATGCAGCACGTAATTTTGCACACAGAAGGCTGAGCGATGAAATGTTTTTTTTTGTGCAAGCAGGATCTTCATGTTGTGTCTGAATGGACCCAGTGAGGCATAGACTACATCTTGCTACACCTTTAACCCACTAGCGATAGCCTTAAAGGGCGAATCCTATACGAAATAGAATGTTGGTTATGTACTGTAACCCCAGATTCTTTGAGTATAGGTGCAGCCCTTTAAGCTCTGGGCCTCACTGGTTCCTAAATGGCTGAAAAAAAAAACTATTTGGGAGCTGATTGCCCGGTCTTACCGTAATTTAAACGGACAGGGGGTGGGGCCCACACAGCCGGTGGACGTGGACTAAAGTTTTCAGTGCTGCGTTACGCACAATGGGATAAACCCACTTGTAATAGCCTTAAAGGCTGCGCCTTTACTCATAGAATTTCAGATTACAGTACAAAACCAATGTTCCTCAGTCTAGGGGATCTACACTTAATGCTCCTCAACCTCCTGCCTTCTCCATAAAGAGCTCTATCTCAGAGGTGTCAGACCCATTTTTCTGGGCCTTGATCTGTAATCGTCTTGTCTGTGTGGTGTACACTTTTGGCAGGTACTAGTACTGTGTGAGCAATTTTTGAGTGAATAGCTGTAAAGAAAAGTGTTTTCTGTTCCCAGTAGAAGTTGGTACGGGTTCGCTGCCATTTTTGTTCCAGAGCTTTTCCTCCTGTTTTGTGGACAGCCAGGGAGCTCGGCCTTTGTACCTTTTAAGTTTACTTGTAGCTAGTGATATTTTGTTTTTAATAGTTGAAAGGGGGTGTTTTAATTATTATTTTTGCCTCGGAGACCCTGAAGCTTAAAGCTTCCCTGGGTTTGACTGATGGTCTGATGGTCCTTCTTGACCATGTGAGTAGCTGGTTTGGTTGTCAGCAGCAAACTGGTTGATCCATTCTGAGAAGGTGCTATTTAAGAGACTGAGCTGAATACAGCACCTCAGACTGAGGAAGAAATTCGGATGAAAGACAAAACATATCTACATTTTTTACTTTGTTTTGTAATTCCAGCCACTTCCGCTTCGGCTTAATGTAATTCCATTTTTTTTCCAAATGCAACACATTTTTTTTCCAAAGTTGTTTCAGCCACTTATGCTTTGGCCACTTCCGCTTTAGCGACATCCACAATGGCTTAATGTAATTTTGTTTTTTGAAATGTAATTCATCTTTTTCAAATGTTGTTCATTTACACTTCAGGGCCTCAGGGTCACCGTATGGATGAATGAAAATATACACCAGAATGCATGTTTTTGATATCTTTATTAAAAATTTAAATAGTAAAACTTTATGCAACAAATATGAATAGCATTTGAGTGACTAAACAGTGATTTCAATCTTGTCTTAAATATCTTGATATTTTGTTTTAAAACCATGGATAGGTTACTATTAAATTTTGTTCATTAAATATTTTTTGGAGTTCTTCTCGGGCTGAAATATGATGATGAAACACTTTGGAGCAAATATACACAGCAGCAGTCCAAAGCTGGATGCCAGAATAGCAAATATCTCCACAGCCACAGTAAACTTTCCAGGAGAGCTGACATATGCTGGGATGAAGGTGATCCACACTGCACAGAAGATCAGCATGCTGAAGGTTATCAGCTTGGCTTCATTAAAATTATCAGGTAGTTTACGAGCTAGAACAGCTAACACAAAGCAAAAAACAGCCAACAGGCCAATGTACCCGAGCACAGCCCAGAAGCCAACAGCAGAGCCTAAAGCACATTCCAGGATGATCTTCTCCTTGTATGTTGTCAGATTTTTCATTGGGAAAGGAGGTCTAAGCAACAACCAAATTGTACATATCAAAACTTGAATAAATGTGAAAAACACAACGGTCAATCTTTGTTGTGGAGGCCCAAACCATTTCATGACATTACTACCTGGAAGTGTAGCTTTGAAGGCCATTAAAACTACTACAGTTTTTCCAAGAACACAGGAGATACAGAAAACAAAAGTGATGCCAAAAGCTGTGTGTCGCAGCATGCAGGACCACTCAGAGGGAGCTCCGATGAAAGTTAATGAACATAAGAAACACAGAGTCAGAGAGAAGAGCAGCAGGAAGCTCAGCTCTGAGTTGTTGGCTCTGACAATTGGAGTAGTTCTGTGATAAAAGTAAATAACTGCTGTAATGATGGCCAGACAAGCCCCAGTAACAGAGAACGCAGCCAGAATCTTTGCAAAGATTTCGTCAAAGTAAAGAAACTCAATAGGTTTGGGGAAACAGGCATCTCTTTCTGCATTTGGCCAGAATTCACTGAGACATGGGAAGCAATCAGGAGAATCTAAACATAAATCAGAAAAGTTTGTTAGAAATCAGCATTTTTGTTCTGCATCAAAATCATTTCAAGCTACCTGTTGTATTACTGATCTCTCCTTCAGGACATGGTATACAATCATAGCAGCAGACGGGTTTTCCTTTCTGCAGCACTTTCCGTGTTCCTGGTAGACAGTTATCATTGCACATTGACACTGGAACCTGTTGAAGATACACACATACAATTTTAGGTACATAGGTTAAGAATTTGCTATTTCTACTTTTGTTGTGGTTTATTTTCAGATATAGCTGTCATGAAGCAATTAATAATATATAATTATTAATTAATATTAAATTATTGCCATGCAAATAACACTTTTTACACTGTAACTAAGAAACTGTGCATAATGTCATGTTAAAATTTTAATGAATGAATGAATAAATCAAGAAATGAAAGAATAAATGAATGAATAAATAAATAAAATCTCATTTGGCATCATTAGGCTCTTTACTTTAATGCCACCTTCTACCCAGGTTATGTTCCGGTTGATATGAAACTCCTGGCCTTTTGGAAGTGATGCATCATAGTATCCCACTGTTACCAGCTCAATATCTCCACCTTCACTCCTTTGCCAGTTGACCAGTTCATAAAAAGCCACAGGATCCCCATTAACATCAAATGACACAGGATAACCATTGCGAGAGAAGTTTACTTTCTTTAGCTCTGATAAAACCTGAAAGAAAGGAGAGAGAAGACATTACAATTCTTGAAGCATAACAAGATTTTTTTTAGAATTCTTTTTTTAACTCAACTCACCTGTTTGGACTCCAAACTGAAGTGCTTGTCACACTGAATACTGAAATTTGTTTCTTGACACACTGCGTTATGAATGGCATGAGCTATTGCATAAACAGCCTTGTACACCATGTTAGTAATTCTTAGCTGAGACGTTTCAGTGTACGAACTTATAAGTGTGTTTATATTCTCAGTTCCATCACACACTCTTTTCTTTGGATCAATAGCTAAATAGACATTAAGATAGAGGCATAATATCCCTTCAGAATTAAATATTTATGAATAAATACTTGTATAAAAAGTCTTAAATTTGTTTTTTTTTTACTCTGTCTGGTCATCAAATAACAGATTTATTTATACATGTATTTAGCTGCTATACAATAAACACAAACACAAAAATAAACAACAATCACAACAAAAAAACTGCCTTTTTGTGTGTATTTCTTCTTTCATTTATTTAACTCTTACATTTAATCATTGTGCAGTTGAATGCATCTCCCCAAAACTCAGTTAGCACTGAATTGGCAGCTACTTCAGTGAAAGAGAGATCCAGCAAAAAGTTTCTTAGTCCTGGGATTACAGATTGCTGAATACCAAGTCCGATGGCTCCTGCACAGAAACTGAAACTCATCATGAGTGGGTCAGTTATCCAGGCCTCACTCCCTATCCACTGACGAGGTGGTGGGAGTTCCTGTGCCAACTCCTCTAACAACACCTTCATGTCTCCCGGAGCCAAAAAAACAACAACAACTGTTGCTGTCGACCTACATATAATAATATTTCATAACATAAAATGTATTTGCCAATCATAATAGTTTTAGTTCATTACACATACATTATTTCAATTAATAAACATTTTTTCTTGTATATTTGACTCAATGTTGCAATTTTGTTTGCTATGCAGAAGGTACACATAAGTTCTAAGTACAACATTTGAAGAAAAGATGTATAAACCTGCGAATAACATCAGCTACTCTCTTGATCTTGCTGTGTGGGTCGGTTCGATAGAAGGATTCAGAGTACTCCACACAGATACCCTCTCTCTGAGCTGCAGCAAGAAAAGACGCCATTCCATAATTTCCATAATCTGAGTCAGAGCGAACAGCACCTATCCAAGTCCAGCCAAAGTGTTTCACCAGCTTGGCCAAAGCATCAGCTTGGAACTGATCACTGGGAACTGTTCTGAAAAAAGTTGGGTACTGTTGCTTATCTGACAGGCAGGCACAAGTGGAAAAGTAGCTGACCTGTATTGAAACCACAAAAGTATTATTATTTTTTAAAAGCCCAGATATAAGGCACAGTGGCTCATATATAGAAGACAAAATATGCAGATTTTAACAGTGCCGTAAATAAAAATCTTTTTTTTTTTTTAAAGAACACCCTAGTTGATATATTTTAGACATGCCAGTGTCTATAAAATCAAGGTTCTTACCTGTGGTATGTAGAAAGGCCCAACGATCCGTGATATGCCAATAGACTGAGAAGATCCAGACTCTCCAACAAGACCTTTCATCTCTCCAGATTGGGAACAATTGCTGTCTTTGTATATCACAGGATCTTGACCATTTAAGAGTTGCAATGCTGCATCCATGGCTACAGACACTGAAGCACACGAGTCATAGATCTGATATCCAGTTTTAATACCCGGCAGCAGCTCTGTGCTGTTATTTATCTCCTCAATTGCAAAAATCATTGCACGAGCAAAACGTACATTGCGGACATTCAAGCTGTGTAGAAGTATAAGGGTCATTGCATTTACTCAAAGTAAAATTTTTGAAAGAAACCATATATAAAGTACCAAACAAAAATAAACCAGACATAGGCATACAAACAAAATTGTGACATCAGTCCATTAGCCAATTAACAACGAATGTAATTAATAATAAAGTACAGCTTTACCTTTCTTAAAATTCTCACTTAAAAAAACACTAAATGGAAAAATAATTTACTAAAATTGACAACATTTCAACAATGTTTTACAACATATCATTTTTCATTTATATGCATTGTACATCTTTTTCTACCATTTCTTCCTCCTACTCACCTCCTGGTGCATCTTAAAGGTTCAGGCTTGGTAGTGTAGTTATAAATCACTGTTTGCAGTGCGTAGTGAATAGAAAAAACTCCTCCAATAACAAAGTCTCCGTCCATTGAGAATGCAGGCAAACGAGGGGTACTCTGAAGAGTACATTTCATTGATGAAGCGTTAGTACTAACACCAGCACCAGTCAATGTCTCTATGGACTCAGTGCTTTGTTTCAGACCATTCACAGACCCACCCAATACAACCACTAGTGTCAACTCCAATAAATTCACAGCTAATCCCAGACCAATATAGGCAGACATGATTTCCGTGTTTTAAGTGGCTTTCTTTAGGCATGTGTGTTTTTATTGGTTTCTGAAGCTCTTCTATCATACGTCAGTGTGTCATTCATCAAAAACAAGCTGTCCTTATCCAGTTTTTTTTTTTATAACTCCACAGTTATTTTCCACTCTGTTTTTGTTCTTTTTGTTCTTGTATAAATAAGATTTACCAGTGAGCATAAAAAATGTTCCTTTTTTAACATTCATTACTATTACTTAGTTTAAATTACAAACGTACCTTGTATATGCAATTGTAGCAATTTTCTAAATGAATAATGCTTTCTATGAAATGGCATTGTGTACATGGAACTATGTAACTGAACTTTTAATGTCTCGATTAGATTTTTTTTTAATCATTGTTTTTTTATTTGGATTTTGATGTTCTCTAATTTTTCTCTAAAGTATTCATATAATTCCAATTTTATTTATTTATATAGCGCCAAATCACAACAAAGTTGTCTCACCGCATTTTACAGGAACATTCACATACATAGGAAAGCTAATTAGTAAAGTTCTCCATCTAAGCATGCCAGCAGACTTGTCGAATCTTCATTTTGTTGCAGTCTCCCATTCTGAGCAAACACAATGGCAACAGTGGAAAGGAAAAACTCCCTTTTAAAAGGAATAAACCTCCAGCATAACCAGGCTCAGGACAAGCAGCCATCTTTTTTGACCGGCTGGGTTTGAGAGGACAGGAAGGAGAGGCAAAGAAATACAGAATGGCAGGTCCAGATGTAGGTGCAGGTGTATCTGAAAAACATAAACGCATGTCAAGGATAGATTAAATATTTACAAATAAAACACAGGTTGAGCAGAGTAAGTAAAGACAATAGTATAGCGAAGAAATGTGGTCAGTTTGTCCTCCAGCAGTCTAAGCCTATAGTAGAATAACTAGGTGATAGCTCAGGAAACCCAAGCCAACCCTAACTATATTTATCAAAAAATTACAGTCTTAAGCCTAGTCTCAAAACTGGACAATGTGTCAGCCTCACAGACAGAAAACGAAAGATCTTCCTCCCATTCTGTTTTTGGAAACTCTGGGAACCACAAGTAAACCTGCAGTCTGAGAGCAAAGTGCTCTGTTAGGAAAACATGGAACAATAAGCTCTCCAATATAAAATGGAGCTAGGTTGTTGAGAGCCTTGTAGATTAGAAGTAAGATTTTGAATGTGTTGATCTTGGACCTCAGAAAACACAGTGCATCAACACCAACAGATGACATGGCACCCCAAATCATCAATGACTGTGGAAACTTGACACTGGACCTCAAGCAACGTGGATTCTGGGCCTCTCCTCTCTTCCTCCAGACTCTGGGACCTTGATTTCCAAATAAAATGTAAAATTTATTTTCATCAGAGAACATAACTTTGGACCACTCAGCAGTAGTCCACTCTTTTTTGTCTTTAGCCAAGGTGAGATGCTTCTGATGCTGTCTCTTGTTCAAGAGTGGCTTGACACAAGGAATACGACAGCAGAAACCCATGTCTTGCATATATCTGTGCATGGTGGTTCTTGAAGCACTGACTTCAGCTGCAGTCTACTCTTTGTGAATCTCTCCCACATTTTAGAATGAGTTTTGTTTAACAATCCTCTCCAGGGTGCAGTTATCCATATTGCTTGAACACTTTTTTTCTACCACATCTTTTTTTTTTTCCTTCATCGGATTCATCAATCCAAGGAGCCACAACCAAACTTCACTTTGGCTATGGCTGCTTCAGAGTTTGTTTGTGGCTCCTCGGACTGATGATGTTCTTTGGATGATGGACGGAACGTCTCAACAACAAAAAAAAGAAACTGTTCAGATGACATGACTGAACATTGTATGAGAAGGTGCTATTTATAAGACTGAGCTGAACACTGAAGAAGTCTTTTGGATGAAAGATGAAGCGTTTCTATAATTTTTTTTTTTTTTTTGTTTGTTTTTTGAATGTCCATAGGCCCAGACTTAACTTTTTTAGATTCTTCTACCTGGATTATTGAGCATGCATCAGGATATTTTGGAACCACTTTGGCAAAGATTGCCTCAAACTTGTTAGAAAGTTTGAGAAAACAGCAAGGAAGAGGGCAGACTACAGGAACCACTTGCGATTCAACCTAAGATGCAGACAAAGTGGCATTGTTCCCAAGAGCCTGGAACTGAAATCTTCTGTCAGCGGGCACCGGGCAAGCAAGATCTTTCAGAAGGCACAGACCCAGCTGCTGAATGAATGGGTGAGACCGACCAATTTTACTATTGAGGCCTTGTAGGTCAAAGAAGAGCAAATTAAACAATATAACAACGTGCCTAGATCAGACCACACTTCAGCAAGTGATGGACTGTACAGATCAGGCACGCTTAGCACAGCATGTCAAGTCCAAAACTCGACAACAAAACAAGTTTAACTTACTGATAACTCGTCAACACCGGCACAATTCAAATAACAACACATTCAGTGGAAGACAACACTCTGGTAGACAGTTACATGACAGGGAGACAGAAAAGTGGGTGAAGAATTTATCTGAATTTATCTGACAGACAGTTCACCCAGCCCGAGACAGAGATTCTTGCAAGGGGACTGAACTTTGCGGTTGCACCAAGTAGAATTCCTCTGGTGGAGATGATCACAGCTACTGAGTCAGCCATCCGCAACAACAAAATTAAAGAGGCTGAAGCAGAACAGCTCAGAATCAAAGTTTCAGCCTGCCTCAGCAATGCCAAACCACCACCTTCCAACATCAGTAGAGAGGAGAGGGATGCACTCACCACTCTTAGCAAGGACAAAAACATCATAATTCTCCGAGCAGACAAAGGAAGGTGCACAGTGATTTTGAAACAGAAAGACTATCATGAGAAGGTTATGACACTCCTTAGTGACTTAAACACTTATGAACCTCTGAAAAGAGATCCAGGACGTGGTTACAAGAAAAAGTTAATAGATTGCCTGAAAATTTTGGAGCAGGACAAGGCTATTGACCGTTTTCTGTACCACAGACTGTACCCAGGGGAGGCCACACCTAGTCTGTATGGTTTACCTAAAATCCACAAACAAGGTGTACCTTTAAGACCAATTGTTAGTATGATTAACTATGTCACTTACAATGTTTCCAAATATCTGGCGTCTGTACTCATCCCTTTAGTTGGCAGCTCAGAACACCACATACAGAACACCATGGACTTTGTGGACAAGGTGAGGGATGTCATCATGGAGACTGATGAAACAATGGTCTCTTTTGATGTCACATCACTCTTTACATGCATTCCTGTTGATGATGCAGTAGAGGTGGTCAGTTTAAAATTAAAATCAGACACCACTCTGAGCAGCAGGACCACACTTTCTACAGAACAACTGTGTCAACTCTTGAAACTGTGCCTGCAGTCAACCTACTTCACATATGGGGAGCAATATTATAGGCAGAAACATGGGTGTGCTATGGGGTCTCCAGTTTCTCCTATTGTTGCCAACCTGTACATGGAGGAGGTAGAAAAGAGAGCCTTGACGTCCTTTTCAGGGACACCACCAAGTCATTGGTTCAGGTATGTTGACGACACCTGGGTTAAAATTAAATCTCAGGAAGTCCAACATTTTACTGACCACATCAACTCTGTGGATAAATACATCAAGTTCACACGAGAAGATGTAAAAAATGGCAAGTTGGCTTTCTTGGACTGTGAGGTCTCAGTCTCTGATAGAGGACATTTGCAAACTGAGGTGTACCACAAACCCACACACACAGACCAGTATTTGCAGTTTGACTCCCATCACCCTTTGGAGCACAAGTTAGGAGTCATCAGGACTCTGTATCACAGAGCAGACAGCGTCCCCACTAGCTCAGGAGCCAGGCAGAAGGAGAAATCCCACACAAGACAGGCTCTAGAGCAATGTGGATATCCTAACTGGGCCTTTTTGAAAGCAGAGAAGAAACCCAAACAGGACTCCAGTCAGCCAACAGGTGAAAAGGAGGAACCCAGACCCAGACCAGTGGTCATTCCGTATGTTGAGGGAGTATCAGAGAAACTGAGACGTTTATTTTCTAAACATAACGTCCCAGTGGCTTTTAAACCCCAAAATACATTACGGCAAAGACTGGTTCATCCCAAAGATCCAGTCCCCCCCGGCACAAACAGAGCAATGTTGTGTATGCTGTTCAGTGTCAGGAGGGCTGTGATCAGTCTTACATCGGGGAAACTAAACAGCCACTGGCCAAAAGGATGGCCCAGCACAGAAGATCAACATCATCAGGCCAGGACTCTGCGGTCTACACTCATCTCCAGGCCAGCGGTCACTCTTTCAGGGATGAAGATGTTCACATCCTGGACAGAGAGGAACAATGGTTTGAGAGAGGAGTAAAGGAGGCTATCTTTGTGAAAAGAAACCGTCCATCATTAAACAGGGGTGGAGGCCTCCGGGTTCAACTGTCCCCCTCTTACAATGCTGTGATTGCTAGTATCACTCAGCCCTCTGTGAACAGTAAACAGCCATCAGTGTGCTAATGATCCATTGTTATGCTGATGGTCCTTCTTGAGCATGTGATCAGCTGGTTTTGGTTGTCAGCAGCAAAACTGGTTGATCCACCCTGAGACGGTTCTATTTAAGAGACTGAGCTGAATACAGCTCCTCAGACTGAGGAAGTCTCTCGGATGAGAGACGAAACATTTCTACATTTTTTTGTTGATTTGCTTTTTTTTTTTTTTTTTTTTTGAATGTCCAGAGGACCAGATTTAACTTTTTTAGATAAACAGCCACTGGCCAACTCCAGGCCAGCTGTCACTCTTTCAGTGATGAAGATGTTGACATCCTGGATAGAGAGGAATGATGGTTTGAGAGAGGAGTAAAGGAGGCCATCTTTGTGAAAAGAAACCGTCCATCATTAAACAGGGTTGGAGGCCTCCGTGTTCAACTGTCCCCCTCTTACAATGCTGTTATTGATAGTATCACTCAGCCCCCTTGTGAATAGAAAACAACCATTAGGGTGCTAACAATCCATAGTTAGGCTGATGGTTCTCCTTGATCATGTGAGCAGCTGGTTTTGGCTGTCAGCAGAAAACTGGTTGATCCACTACGAGAAGGTGCCATTCATAAGACTGAGATGAATACCGCACCTCAGACTGAAGAAGTCTTTCGGATGAAAGACGAAACGTTTCTACTTTTTTTTTTGTTGTTGCTTTTTTTGTTTTATTTTTTTAATTTCCAGAGGACCAAACTTAACTTTTTTAGATTTTTATACCTGGATTATTGAGCATGCAGCAGGGAATTTACATAAACGACATACATATACAAACATGACATTAACATCCATCATTAATGGCAAAAAAAATTAGCTCAGTAATGTATGATACCTTTTTACTGTAAAATGATTTAATCACTTGTGGTATGAAAGAAAGTGTTGTCCTGTTTCTGGAGAAAAAAAGGAACCTTCTCCATGAAGGAAGCAACTCAAACGAGGGTCTTGGGGGATGTGTACTGTCTGCTATAATCGTGTTTGCCTTCCTCAAATCTCTGTCCATGTATATTTTTTCCATAATCGGCAGTGTTCCCTAACAGTTTGCTGGCTGTGGTTACTATACTTCAAGGATTTGAGCCTCTGTAGCATTGCCAAACCAACAGATGTTTCAAAACATTAAAATATCCTCAATAGAAGCAGAATAAAACATTAAAAGCACTGAGTTATTGACTCTAAAAGATCCTGTTTTTTTTAAAAAAAAATACATCCTCTGCTGATCCTTGGTGCTAATAAGGTCAGCCCATGAGTCCCACTTTAAGTGACAGTCCAGAACCATGCCCATGTACTTGTAGCACAAGACAGTTTCAATCTGATTTCCATCGATGGTGGTTGGAGAAAATGACTGAAGCTTCCTGAAGCTGTCGTTAGGCCTGAGCAGCAAAATGCTACAAAGGCCTATTGTAATCGCTCAGTTCATTAGACCCGAGCAATTCTTCCATTAAATGTATTGGCCTTTTGGGGGCCTTAGCATATGCCAGAGCTCACCAAATTTGACGGGTGCATCAGGACTGCTGAAAAATTATGTATTTTAAGGACATCACAAAAATCGCAACAGAAACAGCTCAACAGCGCCACCTAGAAATTTTCAAAATACCCTCTGCGTTAACCTTAGTTTGTCGTAGAAGCATGAAATTTCGTATATTGTCCAATTCCCCAAGATGCACAGAAAACCCTCTAGCACCAACGTTGTGTGATAAACAGGAAGGTGGCCATTTTGGAATGCCGTCCCCGATTTCACACCTTTTTGGCGGTTTACAGCCTACGCATTTGAACAAACTCCTCCTAGGGATTTCGCTCAATCGGTTTCAAGCTTGGCCATTTGGTTCAAAAGGCATGGGGGACAAAAACTTATCTAAACGATGTGTTTCGGAGCATGCTGAAGGGGCGGGCCCAGACATCAAAGTTTGACAGCTCGCCATGACAAACAAAATGCTGATAGCTCCAACACAAAAACTGTCTGAGACATCAAACCTTCAGTGATTGATCCACATCCAGTCTCCTGCAAGACTAAATGGTCAAATCATGACATCACTTACGCCACGCCCCCTGAGAACAGGAAGTATAAAGTTTTATGTTGAACAGTCCCTATCTGACCCCTGTGATTTAATCAGCATGATAGTGTGTCCAGTGACCAAAGACATCTTGGTGTAACTTGTTTTACAACACTGACAGTTTTGGGTGGAGCATGTGGGCGGCACCACGTGGCAAAGTAAGACGTATCACTGTCGCCATACATTTGGCTCTATATTGTACAGATTTGAGCCAAGATGCACCAAAATCAGTATGATTAATCATTATCCACACCTTGAATAGGACTCCATGATACGTGGCCAATACGCCCCACAGCGCCCCCTAGAATATTTTAAAAGTTCAGCCATAAGACATTTTTTGACCAATAATTCTGAAAATCAGGGAACATATGTATCTTCTCAGGACCTATGAAAAGTCTCTTGGAGCCCTGGAACAGGAACAGGAAGTCAGATATTTTGGGTCAAAGGGTCATTTTTGGGCATTTCTAATTGTGAATTTTAACAAACTCCTCCTGGGGATTTTGAAGAATTACCTTCAAACTTGGCTAACATGCCCTTAACACGTTGGAGGGTAAAAGGTATCAAAAGCTTGTGTTTTCTATATATTAAAGGGGCGTGGCCAGTCCTCAAAGTTGTGCTTCACGCCGTAAATTTCCAAATTCTATAACTTTCACATTGATAGACCGAAATGCACCAAACTTGGTATGAGTCATCCCTGTTGGATGCCTTACGATACTCTGTGTCATATTCTAATGTCATCAAATCCCCACCCCCTCAGAACAGGAAGTCACTTTTTTTTTTTACTTGGAATGCTCCCTCTCTGAAACCCGTGACCTAATTAGGATGATCCTGTGCTAGAAGACATATAAAAAGTTGGTCTGACTTGCTTTAAATTACAAACAGTTTTCGCTGGAGGATGTGGGTGTGGCGACATGACAAATTCAGAAGTGACGCCGTTGCAATACGTTGGGCTCTAAATTGCACAGATTTGAGCCGAGGTGCACTAAAATCATTATGATCGATCATTATACACACTTTGAACAGGAATCCATAATAAGTGGCCAATAGCCTCCACAGTGCCCCCTACATTATTCTTATAGTTATATCTCAGTGGTACATCATTTGATCTGTACCAGATGTTTGGTGCGTCATCAGTGAGCATTTCTAGACACATTGGTATTGTTGTCTAACATTTCACCCCAGAGCACCCCCTAGATTATTCCAACAGTTATATCTCAGTGAAATACCATACATGTACCAGATTTTTGGTACTTCATCAGTGAGCACTTGTACACACATTGGTATTGTTGATCCATGACTTGACTTAAGCCCGGCCCACTCAGAGAAGAAACTGATGATTATTGGGTGTCTCTTCCAGCTTGGCACTGTGTAAGATATAAGACTACAACCACATTCAATAACTGTTGATTACCACATATGACATGTTGAAAAGCTTAAAGTAAATCCTTTACATTCGATAGAAAACAGGAAGTGACAATAACTCCTGTCTGGAAGGTCGGATTTTAGCCAAACTTGTAAGGCTTGCAGCTGGACTCAAACTGACATGGGTGGAAGGTGATTTCAAAGATTCAACATATGCGCACCCTATTGGACGCATGCAGGAATGGCATGAGAGCATTCTCGATGGCAACTGGGAGGAGTTGCTGGAGCTCCCGCGGTCACAGGCGATGTCAAAGGTTCGGCAAATGCGCAACCTGGTGAACAAGTGCGGGATACGCACGAGAGCATTCGCAATGGCAACTGGGTGGAGTCACTGGAGCTCCCGCGGTCACTGTAAGTCCGGAGCAAAGCTTTGCTGCGAGGACCTTCAATGCTGCTTGCAGCTTTGATTTCTTTTTTTTTTTTGTGTGTGTGTGTGTGTGTTCAGAACTAATTTTTATTTTTTGCATCAATCAATGAAGAAGTCCAGAACTGGTAAATGCTCCTCTTCATTGTTATTTAAAAGGCTTACCAGGGTCACGCCATCATTATATTTAATTGATGAAGTCCTTTGGTTGATGGACGAAACGTCTCAACAGAAAGAAAGAAAAAACGTCCTGATGACCATACTGACATTGGTTGGATTTTTTTTTTTACTGGAGTATTGAGCATGAACTTTTACGTTTTGAACCACTTTGGCTATGGCTGACTCTGAGGAGTCAGCGGGGTGGAGGGGGAGTCCCAGAAACCATCTTATCACAAGCAAATTGGTTAGTCCACTATGGGAGTGTGCTGCTTGTGGGACTGAGTTTAACTGTGGCTCCTCAGTTTGATGAAGTCTATGAAGGATGAAACATCTCAACAAAAAAAAAAAAAAAGAAAGAAAGAAACTGTCCAGATGACCTGACTGAACTTTGTAGGGTGTTCTTTAAACATTTATTCAAAACATGAGAAATTGATGATCAACACAGTTTTTCATTTTTACCCTAAAGACTGTATCCATTTCAAGCACATTACAACATTTACTAAAAGAAACACCACATGAAGAAGATTACAGTTGCAAAAGAGAAAGAGCAATGTTGGTTCTAAACAGTATATTACATTAGCAATAAGATTACATAAAATTTTGGAAAGAATATAAACAGTATATTAGTTTATATCACTGATATTTTGCCATGTTCCTTAAATGTTGAGATTTTTACATTTGATTTTTGTTCATTAAATATTTTTTGGAGTTCTTATCGGGCTGAAATATGATGATGAAACACTTTGGAGCAAATATACACAATATTAGTCCAAAGCTGGAAGCCAGAATGGCAAATATCTCCACAGCCACAGTAAACTTTCCAGGAGAGCTGACATATGCTGGGATGAAGGTGATCCAAACTGCACAGAAGATCAGCATGCTGAAGGTTATCAGCTTGGCTTCATTAAAATTATCAGGTAGTTTTCGAGCTAAAACAGCTAACGCAAAGCAAAAAACAGCCAACAGGCCAATGTACCCGAGCACAGCCCAGAAGCCAACAGCAGAGCCTAATGCACATTCCAGGATGATCTTCTCCTTGTATGTGGTCAGATTTTTCATTGGAAAAGGAGGACTGAGAATCAACCAAATGGCACATATTAAAATTTGAATTAATGTGAGAGACAATACAGTCAATCTTTGCTGTGGAGACCCAAACCATTTCATGACATTACTACCTGGAAGTGTAGCTTTGAAGGCCATTAAAACCACTACAGTTTTCCCGAGAACACAGGAGATACAGAGAACAAAGATTATACCAAAAGCTGTGTGTCGCAGCATGCAGGACCACTCAGAGGGAACTCCAATGAAAGTTAATGAACATAAAAAACACAGAGTCAGAGAGAAGAGCAGCAAGAAGCTCAGCTCAGAGTTGTTGGCTCTGACAATTGGAGTTGTCCTGTGACGAAAGAACATAACTGCTGTCATGATGGCCAGACAGGCCCCCAAAACAGAGAATGCACTCAAGATGATTGACAGGACTTCATTAAATGACAGGAATTCCAGAGGTTTTGAAAGACAAGCGTCTCTTCTTGCATTAGGCCAGAATTCTCTCCGACATGGGAAGCAATCATGAGAATCTGAAAATAATAATAATAATTAATTTTGCCAATGATCACATATGTACAGATACAGAACTGCATGTAAAAAAATTAAAAAGGAATATAATTAGTCTTGTTTTACCTGTTGTATTACTGATCTCTCCTTCAGGACATGGTATACAATCATAGCAGCAGATGGGTTTTCCTTTCTGCAACACTTTACGAGTTCCTGGAGAACAACTCCCTGAACACACTGACAGTGGAACCTGTCACCCAGTCACACACACAGTAACAAACTGTTTTAATTAACTACAGTATATACATTTTTGTCAAATATTATCCACAGGCTTTGTACCTCGGTCTCACCGTCCACCCAGGTTATGTTCCTGTTGATCTGAAACTCCTGTCGTTTAGGCAGTGATGCATCGTAGTATCCTACTGTTACCAGCTTAATACCTCCACTCTCACTCTTCTGCCAGTTGATCAGCTCATAAAAAGCTGCAGGATTGCCATCAGCATCAAATGACACCGGATAACCATTTTGAGAAAAGTTTACTTTTTTTAATTCGGTAAAAACCTGTGAGGTATAATAATGTAGAGGGAAAGATATTTAGAAACAAATGTTAATTGACCTTCAGGGACATAAATAAAAACAGAAAAACAATGTTTTATTGTTAATTTACCTGTTTATGCAACAGTTTGATGTATTTATAACACTGAGTGGTGAGATTTGTTTCCTGACACATTGCATTGTGAATGGCATGAGCTATTGCATAAACAGCCTTGTACACCATGTTAGTAACTCTTAACGGTGACAGTTCAGTGTAGGGATTTTTAAGCAACATTATGTCTTCCGTTCCATCACACATTCTCTTGTCTGGATCAGGATCTATAGTCACATATAAACAGAAACAGATAGTTTAATTTGTCAAAGACAAATCACATTCCTAACTTAGATTTCAAATACTTGGGTTTGAGTAGGTATTTGGTAAATTACAGGTACTATATATATCATGATCGGCTCCGTGTGTGGGGACCCAAAGTGCAAGAAGATGAATGAAGCTCCAGTAAATAAGTAAAATAGTTTATTTAATTAAATAAACAAAACAAAATGCTGTCGGGGCAGCAAACTTACTCAAAGGAGGACACAAGGAGAGACAGGTCATGAAGCCTTAGAACAAGGACAATCCAGAGACACTGACAAGACACCAAGAGGCTGAATATATACAGACACAAACAAGGTGAAATGAGTGACACCTGCGGTGATTAGGATTAGACACAGGTGCAACAGTGCTGGAACACAGGAGGAGAAAAGCTGAGGGGTGACAGGCAAACATGAGGGAAAACACAACATGTAAGACAAGACCCCAGAAACCCTACACTATAAATATAATTTAATAATACATAAAACAATCCAAAATTTGTACTTCTTGTTTTACTGTCAGGATTAGTTTGAACTTGACCAGATGCATTGAGATCTTGTTTGAATAAAGGCCATACTTTTTATGTATATCTATGTTTGGTGTAGGGCAATAAGAGAAGAATTTCAAACTAGAATTTCAATCTATTTATTGCTTTTATTGTTTTACATTGTCGTCTGTAGGCAGCACGGTGGCGCAACTGGTAGAGCTGCTGCCTCTCAGCGAGCAGGTCCTTGGTTCAAACCCCAGTCAAGGGGCCTTTCTGGGTGGAGTTTGCATGTTCTCTCCGTGCATGCGTGGGTTTTCTCCGGGTGCTCCGGTTTCCTCCCACAGACCAAAAACATGCATGTTAGGCTGATTGGTAACTCTAAATTCTTCCTAGGGGTGAGTGAGAGAGTGAATGGTTGTTTGTCTCTTTTGTCTCTATGTGGCCCTGTGATGGACTTGCGACCCATCCAGGGTGTACCCCGCCCCTCGCACAGTGATTGCTGGACATGGGCACCAGCGACCCCCATGACCCAAAATGGAATAAGTGGGTAAAGATAATGGATGGATGGATGGATTGTCATTGTCGTCTGTACTCTACATGTTGTCTGTCATGTCTATCTTGAAAACGAGTCATTGGGACTCAATGAGACTACCTGTATAAATAGAGTTTAAATAAAAAGAGAGCAATTTCAAATTGCATAGAGCTTCTAGACACTCAACAAGACAGCATAATAAGAAAGCCCTTCATGTACATTGTTTTTAAATATTGTGAAACCTTGCTCACATTTTTTTAAGCTGCAGTTGAACGAGTTTTCCCAGAACTCTGTTAGCAGAGATGAGGCGACTACTTGGGTGGGAGAGAGATCCAGTAAGAAGTCTTTCAGTCCTGGGATGACAGATTGCTGAATGCCAACTCCAATAGCTCCTGCACATAAACTGAAGCTCATTAGGTTCGGGTCAGTTACCCAGGACTCACTTCCTATCCACTGACGAGGAGGTGAAGGCGCCCGAGCCAGTTCCTCCAACAGAACTCTCATTTCTCCATAGGACAAAAAAGCCACAACAACCACTGCTGTAGACCTGTTGAGACATTAACAATTATTCATTTTTGTGCTCACATTTTAATTATATATTTTTTCCCACAGCAAAGAAAAGTCGTTAATAAATCAACGTCTCAGCTAAAAAGAATGTATATATGTAGAATAAAAATGTTTTTAAAAATCTGTAAAATGTTTTTTTTAAACACTCAGTTATTGCCTCTTTTTTTTATTTTTTTTTTTACCTATCACTGACTTAGTTTTGTACAGTTGACCCACATCTTCACAAGATACACAAAACAATGTAAATTAGTAAATTAGACACCTGCGAATAACATCAGCTACTCTCTTTATCTTGCTACTTGGGTCGGTCCGATAAAAAGATTCAGAGTACTCCACACAGATTCCTTCTCTCTGTGCTGCATCAAGAAAAGATGCCATTCCATTATTTCCATAATCTGAGTCTGAGCGGACAGCACCTATCCAAGTCCAGCCAAAGTGTTTCACCAGTTTGGCCAGAGCATCAGCCTGAAAATGATCACTGGGAATTGTTCTGAAAAAAGTCGGGTACTGCTGCTTGTCGGACAGACAGGCACAAGTAGCAAAGTGGCTCACCTAATTAAAACAAAAATACAACTTAGATCATTTTCACTAAACCAAAATGTTAAAATCAGCAGGTACTTGTAGTTTATTTCTAGGCAATAAATGCAGACTGTTCTTACCAATGGGATACTGAAGGGTCCAAAGATGTGGGACATGCTGATGGAAGGAGTTGATCCAGACTCACCAACAACAGCCATCACCACTCCAGACTGGGAACAATTGCTGCCTTTATAAAATTCAGGGTCTTGTCCGTTTGATAGTTGAAAGGCCACATGCACAGACACAGGCACTGAAGCACATGAGTCATAGATCTGATATCCAAGTTTGATGCCTGGAAGCAGCTTTGTGCTGTTGTTTATCTCTTCAATTGCAAAGATCATTGCACGAGCAAAACGCAGTTCCCGACTGTCAATGCTGTGTAAAATTGATCAAGGGATTGCAGACAATAACACAAAAATATAAAAATATTATAAAACTACTGAAAATGATATTTGAGAAATAAATCACATAACACTGAAGTTTCAAAAATGATGAATTGATAAATAAATTGAATGTTGATTAGTCAAACAATCAATGCGCAATTGTTTTTTAACTGTTGACTTACTAAATCCAAATAATAAAATTAGACAGCAATTCAAATCAAGCTGTTCAGGTTGACAGTTTTTTTTTATATTTTAAACGTAGAAGAAAAAATTGTCACAAAGAAAATTTGTAGAAAATTATTGATTTTTGTTTTTCGCCCCTCAGTATTAGCTTTTCAGAAAAACATAATTTCCATTCATAAACATCAAAACCACTTTTTCTCCTTCTCACTCACCTGCCACTGCAGCTTGACGGTTCTGGCTTGGTGGTGTAGTTATAAATCACTGCATGCAGTTTGTAATGAATAGAAAATATACCACCAATAACAAAGTCACCATTCTCTGAGAAGGCAGGTAAACAACGTGTACTCTGCATTGTACATTTCATCAATGAGGTCTCAGTACTGACACCCACATCAGTTGGAGCCTCTTCGGTCTTAATTGTTGGCTGAAGACCATTCAAAGACCCACCAAGGACAAGAACTGTGATCACTTCTATTAGGTTCACAGCTAATCTCAGGCCAGTAGGAACAAATCTGATTGCCATTCCTCAGGTGCCAGTATTTGAGTGTAAATTTGTTTATGTACAGGTAGCCGAGTGGCACAGTTTTTGGAGCTGTTGCCTCTCAGCAAGAAGGTGGCCAGATGAAATTCCAGCCATGGACCTTTCTGGGTGGAGTTTGCATTTTCTCTCTGTGCATGTGTGGGTTTTTTCCATGTACTTCAGTTTCCTCCCACAGACCTACAACATGCATGGTAGGCTAATTGGCAACTAAATTGTATGAGTGAGAGAGTGAATAGTTGTTTATCTCTATGTGGCCCTGTGATGGACTTGCAATTTGTCCAGGGTGTCCCCTGCCTCTCGTACAGTGACAGCTGAATATGGGCGCCAGTGGCCCTTGTGATGTGGAAAGGAAAAAGTGATTAAAGCTAATGGATGGATGGATGGATGAATGAATTCTCCTCTTCAACAGCTGAAAATTCATCTGCAACACAACTTTACCTGATGATTGTCGATTACATCATTTATTAAAATAAAAAAGTAATCATTTTGATTTTATGTTTCAATTAAATTCAGTTCAGTTTATTTATATAGTGTCAAGTCACAACAGGGCACTGTACAGAAACATTCAAATGCATAAAAAGTCAGTTAATAACATTATTTTTCTAAGGAGCCAGCAGATGGCTTTGAGTCTTCACTTTGTTTAAGTCTCCCACTCTGAGCAAGCTCAAAGGCAACAGTGGGAAGAAAAAACTTCTAATGAGGAAGAAATCTCCAGCAGAACAAGGCTCAGGACAAGCGGCCATCTGCTTCGACTGGATGGGTTTGAAAGGACAGGAAGGAGGAACGGACGCAAAGTGACAGGTCCAGAATGGAGGCGAGCAGGATTTTCTCTAGGAGGAAAGACCAAAATCACGTTAAGATAAAAATAATTCCAAAAAGAAAACTATTATTTTGTTTGCAATTGTAACTATTCATTTGATGACATCAGGTCAGTTTGTCCACCAGTAGCCTAAGTTTATAGCAGCATAACTAAGGGCTAGGTAAAGAAGACAAGCCAACCCTAACTTGTCAAAAGGGAAAGTCTAAAGCCTAATCATAAAACTAGACCATAGTCCTCCCAGTCCACTAGGTGCTGGAAACCTCTTCCCTGTCGACATACCATACCATATCATTTTATTTATAGAGCACTTAAAACAACGACAAGACCAACCAAAGTGCTGTACAGACAGAACGACAGGTAACACACAAAGCAAAATACAAAATGAAGTAAATCAGAAATATAGAAATAAAAACGATGCAGATAATGACGACTAACCAGTGTGGAGCATACAGGTTCAAAACACAGATCTGGTGTTGAAAGCTACCGAATAGTAGTGGGTTTTTCAACGGGACGTGAAAACCGAGAGGGAGGGGGCCTGTCTGACAAGCAGAGGTAACTCGTTCCAAAGTCTTGGTCCTGCTACAGAAAAGGCCCTGTCACCTCTGCACTTAAGACGAGTTCCTGGAACTGTGAGGAGCAAATGGTCCGCTGACCTCAGGGAATGTGGTGGGACATACGGTTGTAGCAAATCAGAGAGAGTGTGTGTGTGTGGTGGTGGTGGTGGTGGTGGTGGGGGGGGGGGGGGTTACGAATCTGTTCAGTGATTTGTAGACATACTATTTTGAACTGGATTCGAAAGTGAACCGGTAACCAGTGCAGTGAGGCCAAAACTGGCGTAATGTGCTCTCTTTTGCTTGTACTGGTTAAAAATCGGTAATTCATCTTTTCCACCCACATTTTGATGTTAGTCCAGGGAGTCGAATCGACAATCTTCCAATCACAGGGCCACCTTCTCTAACCTCTTCACCACCACTCCCCCAATAGGTAACACCTATTCATGATTAGGCATACGATATATAATTAACAATATATTCAGGGAATACAGGAAACAAGGAAATAAGCAAAACAACAATATAAAAGAACAACAGACTATACTGTAAGTCACAAACCATCAGAACATTCCTTAATCCTCACTCTGAGACTCTCAAAAGTTAAGAACAGAAAATAATGCCCCTTTGTTCTTATGAAAGCGATCTGGGATTCCTTTGCTAATCCCCACAAGTTCTGTTCCCCCCCCCCCCTCTGGATGCCATAAAAGTAACACAGATTGATATCATCTGAAGATTTATTTTCTTGCAGCTAGACTTGACTCCACAATTCCCCTTTTGAACAGGGACAGAACTTATCACACCAGCATTTAGCTTCAAAGGAACTTCCTTTATTTACCACTAACCCAGACTGTAATCTGATTACAGCTATAAGAATGTGTTTGAATACCATACCATACCATACCATACCATATACCGCTTTGTTTATAAAGCACTTAAAAACTGCAACAAGGCCAACCAAAGTGTTGTACAGCAAAAACGAACAAGCAAAGAACATAGCATAAAATGCAAAGATCCACAAATGTAACAATAAGAAACTAAATTACAAAAATTATAAAATACAGAGAAGTTAAAATCCACTCATACGGGATCGAAATCAAGGGAATAAAAATGAGTTTTTAAACGAGACTTAAAAACATTAAGCGATGGAGCCTGCCTGACGTGCAGTCATTCCACAGTTTTGGACCTGGAACAGAGAAGGCCCTGTCACCTCTGAGCTTAAAATGAATGCCTGGAACAAATAAAAACATCTGGTCTGCTGACCTCAAAGAGCACTATGGGACATATGACTGCAGCCTGTCAGCGAAATAAGAGGGGGCATAACTGTTTAGAACATACATAATATATTGGCGGCTGTGGCTGAGTGGTTAGAGCAGTCGTCCTCCATTGCAAAAGTTGGAAGTTCGAATCCACCAGCAGTCACATGCCTAAATGTCCCTTGGCAAGACACTGAACCCCTCATTGCCTCCGATGTGTGTCCCATCGGTGTACAAAGAATGAATGTGATCTCAAAGCACTGGTTAGTCTCTTTAGAATGATTTGTTTAATTAGCTTTGTAGAGTTCTAGTAAAGTGCTGTATGAATGTGTAAAAGAGGGCACAGATTGTAGTGTAAAGTGCTTTGAGTATCTGGATAAGATAGAAAGGCGCTATATAAATGCAGTCCATTTACCATTCAATTTACATACTATTTAAAAGCATACAAAATTATTTTTAAATTAATTCGGAAGTGAACCAGGAGCCAATGAAGGAAAGCCAAAACTGGATAAATGTGCTCTCTTTTTCCTATACCAGTTAAAAATTGGGCTGCAGCATTTTGAACCAGTTGCAAACGTACAACAGATATCTGACTGATTCCAAAAAGAAGTGTATTTCAGTAATCAAGCCTGCATTTTATGAAAGCTTGAATTACTCTCTCAAGGTTACTTTTAGACAGTATGAGCTTCAATTTAAACAGTCACCTCAACTGTTGAGTCAACCTCAACTCACCCTGTGATGCTGATTCTAAATGTTCCCTCTGTCGAGTACCACATCAGAAGATGTCACAGAGTTTGGTGTCAAACCAGGGTAGCACAACTCAGAACAGCAGACAAGAATAAGAGGTTTGCTGACAGACACTAATCTACGGCCCCTAGTTACTAAGATGGCCAAAAGGTATGGCTCTCCACTAAGGACATCTCGCTCAAGGACACACCCATAAAACTTTCCCCCAGATACATCAGACCATTCCCAATAATTAAAATTATCAATCCATCTGCTGTTTGCTTACATCTCCCTCTGTCCATGAAGATGCACCCTACATTCCACATATCTCTCATCAAGCCTGTAATCACCAGTTCTCTGAACCCTCTGACGACACCCCCCCCCCCCACCCCTGCCTTGATGCCTTATTGATAACAAACCTGGACTCACTGTCAGGAACCCCCTGGACATATGTCATAGAGGTTGACTTCTGGTAAGATGATGCCCGTGTACTTGGCTTGCAAACCACCTCTGCTTATGGTGTTCAGATTATTTATGTTTTGTTCGATTTTTTATCTGGACCATAAACTCGCTGATGGTGAATGACCGACAACAGCTTCTGAATCTTCATTTTTCTGCCACCAATGTCGCTTATTTGAACTTCTGGACCCCCCCCCCAACGCAAGATCTGTTACCAACAAAACTTTTATCCTCAGGGACTACTTTCAAGAGTACGAGTTGGACTTTTTCTGTATCACAGAGACTTGGATGTCTCCGGGTGAGTCCAGCGCCTTGACGGAAATATTGCCACCGAACTGTCTGTATTTTAACGCACCGCGGCCATCAGGCCGGCGCCATGGTGGATTATTAACAATATTCAAATCAACTTTTGACTGTAAACAACTGCCCATCCCAGTTTCCCGTGCCAGCTTTGAGCTGAGCGTCTTTGAACTCGGCCACTCGCCTCCAACTTTATTTGCACTCGTCTACCGCTCACCTCAATCTAAGGATTTCATAAATGAGTTTTCTGATTTCTTGGCTGAAATCATACCAAAATATGAACATGTTTTCATTATTGGGGACCTTAATTTGCATGTGTGCTGTCAGGAGAAGCCCTTGGTTAAGGACTTTTTAGATTTATTGGACTCATTTAATCTTACGCAGCATGTAAACGGTCCCACCCAAGAGCGCCGACATAAACTGGACCTTGTTTTAACTCGGGATGTGACTGTTAGTAATCTTCAAATTGGTAATAATGTTTTTTCAGACCACATGCCAGTCCGGTTTGAGTTCACCCTCCCCCATCTAACTCCTAAGCTGTGTATTTCTGCAAGTAGTAGCCGGGCTGTTAACCATTTCACTGCCGCACATTTCACAGATGCTTATAACTCTGAAATGAACATTCAGCCACCGGTGTTTCTCACCACTACTGAGGAGCTGACATCCCAGTTCAACTCTGTCTGCTTAAAGACTCTA